CCCGGCTCGGTCCAGGCGAGAGGCCCGAGGGTGCCGCGGGCGTCCCCGGACGTCGGCTCAGCGCTCGCCTCTGTGCACTTGGCTTCTCAGCTCTTCCGCGGCGACTTTGCTCAAGCTGGCCCACGGCCTGGCCGCTTCCCCCGTCCTCCTCCCCGAGCTCCGAGCGCGAGAGAAGAGCGCCAAGGAGCGCGCGTTGCGCGCGCTCCCCGGAGATGCGCCGGGCGGGGACAGCTGCGGAGGCCTCGGGGCCTCTTCGACTGGGGACCACGGAACAGCTCGGGGGGCCGGGGTGTGTGTGTGTGTGTGTGTGTGTGTGTGTGTCCGCGTGTCCGCGCGCGCGTGTGCGTGCCAGCGGAGGCGTGGCGTGGGGTAGAGGCGGCTGGCTGTGACCGCCTGGAATACGACAAGAATAGCCATCGGCTTCCCCCTCCCCGCCGCAGCCCCGGGTCTCTTCGCCTTTCCCCTTTCCCGTCCTGGATCGGCCCCGAGATGCTCGCCGAGACTCGGCGGGGACCGGCTCGCCCTGCTTGGGGAGGGCCGGGGCCAGGAGCGGTCGGCCCGGCGCGCGGCTGCGGCGCCCGGGTGAGGAGCCCGGCCCGAGCATCCCGGGACGGAGCGCTCCGGCCGGCCGCGCGGAGCCCCGCAGGGTGCTGGCTCCTCGTCGCTGCCCTCGGCAGAGGGCTCCTGTGCACCCACGACCCTTGGCCTCCGTCTGCCTCCTGTGGGACCTAGACCCGCTTGTTGTCATTGTTCATGTGAATACTGTTTTTCGGGACGGAAAACTTTGTCATATCTACATGCCCTAATCCATGACTTGCAGTGAGAATCAAATAAAATTTAAAAAACGGTCCCTTTCCTTTTGCTCCCTTTCTCCTCTATTCTTCCTTCTCTCTTCCTTAGAGAGAGCAGGAATCTGGGGTGACTGACGCCCTCAGATTTCCCTGGCTGGGCTCCTTTCCCCAGGGCGCTGTGAATTACCTTCCTTAGTCCCCGATGGTATCTGGTAGGTGATACAAGCAAACCCGGTGAATATTTGGTTCTGGTCTCACAGGAGGAACAATCAGCATCTTACTTGTCTTTTTATCTCTACTCATGGGAGACAAAAGTGGCTTGGCACTTGGGGTTGGCCCAATCATTGCCAGTTTACACTTCAGACATGAAGGCAGAACCTTCACCAGATTCTGGTATCTATTATAGTGTTTTAAAAGATAGTAATCTTTGGGATGAATTTCAAACAGGAATGAAAACTAGAAGTGTTGGTTTGCTACAGCCAGGCTCAGTGGTGTGAGAGTGTGAGTGTTGCAGCAGGTTTTGTTTACCTAGTTTGGCATCTTTAATCAATTTCTCAACAATTCAGGTTTAAAATACCGTTTTTCGTTTGTTTTGAGTCAGAGTCTCACTCTGTCACCCAGGCTGGAGTGCAGTGGCATGCTCATGGTCACCGTAGCCTCAATCTGCTGGGATCAGGCAGTCCTTCTGCCTCAGCCTTCCAAGTAGCTGGAATTACAGGCGTGCACCACCACGCCTGGCTAATTTTTTGGTTTATTGTAGAAACGGGGTCTCACCAAGTTGCCCAGGCTGGTCTCAAATCCCTGGATTCAGGCAATCCTCTTGCTTCCGCCTCTCAAAGTGCTGGGATTACAGGCATGAGCCACCTACACCCTGCTTTAAAATACCTTTTGAAAATACATGGAAGAAAAAAAAAACCCTTGTCTGATTCTGGTGAATGAGAATTACTTCCTTAGTCCTCAGAGTCACTAGGAACATTGAGAAAATCCTTAACTATCAGTTTACAAAATGTAAATTTAGCAACCATCTGCCTTGGGTGGTAAATAATAGTAAATTGTTCAAAATAAAGTTTTTCATTTCCAACGCATTTTGAATGATGGATCTCATGATATTTGAGCAAGTTTCTGCTGGGGGGTTTGAGAGACCTTTTGGAATTCATTTCAATATCATTCGAATTTCTAGGAAACATTTATTGATTTTCTTTAAAATTCTCAAAATTCTTTTATGAATTCTATGTAATTTTTCACAAAGTTTTAAATTTATAATAACTTTTAGATTATTTAAGGTACTGGACAAAGAGTAAAGTGGACATCTGGCCACAAACACAGCCAGGAATGATTGTCTGGATTTGAAACCTTATCTGTCTTAATAAACTGGACACGGTAACTGGACACAGATGGGAAGAAAGCCGAGTGATCTATCTGTCCACGGCATTATCTGTACCCTAGATCAACCCGGAGCTGTCTCAGGTTGGAAAAACACATGGACTAGTATTGCCATGTCGTCTCCAGCAACGCAGAGATTGGCATTTTAGTATGTGTATGGGATTAAACTGGGCTCAGTAGTTCAGTTTTCATCTTGGTTTGGATAAGTTGTTGTATCATTGTTTCTAGATTGTTGCCCTTCATATGAGCATGCAGAAACCCAGATTGTATGTCTCAGATTTCCTTTTTGTGGGACTACAGTAAATATGCAAATAAGCCAGGCAAAAGTAGAATTTATTTACACCATTGTATTGCCAAGATCCAACACTGTGTTGAATTCTTGCAGTCTCTATATAAACTGCATGGTTTAGTTTTATCACCTCAACTATTTTAAAGTGTCTATTTGCTTTTATTTAATTTAGGTCAGTTATGAAATGTATATGCTTATGCTTTCTCTTGAGAAATGCAGAAACTGTTAGTCCATTGCAAAGGAGGTCAGATTAAAATAAAAACTGAATGGTCTTTCTTTTCTCCAGAGACTTGTCCATGTTAGGCGTTTCTGGTATGAACCTTCCTCTTTCTCTCTCGTCTTCTTGCCAATAAACTTTGTTCTAAAATTTTTAAAAAGTAAAAAAAAAAAGTGGAAACATTCTGATAAGTGAACATTCTATTTCCTGAGAATATGGTCTCCACAATTCAATCACTTTAATGTTTATGCATTATTATTATTATTATTTTTAATTGGAGTCTCACTCTGTCACCCAGACTGGAGTGCAGTGGCTGCTCCTGGCCACCGCAGCCTCGACCTGCTGGGCTCCGGCGATCCTTCAGCCTCAGCCTTCCAAGTAGCCGGAACTACAGCGGGCGCTACGACGCCCGGCTAATTTTTTGATTTATTGTAGAGATAAGATCTCGCCAAGTTGCCCAGGCGGGTCTCGAACCCACGGGCTCAGGCAATCCACTCACCTCAGCCTCCCAAAGGCACGGGATTACAGGCTGTGCCACCGAGCCCGGCTGCATTATCAGTTTTTAAAAATACTGCCTTAATTTGAAAAGTTTTCTAACAAAAAAGCAATGAATACATAGAAGTACTTAATAGGACAAAATTAAGAATGAAATCTCCATCCCCTGATACCTTTTAATTTGATTGGTTGTAAAAGATGATGCAGATCTGCTGACTGACACAGAGATTTAGAACTTATGCTAGGCAGAGGAAGGATGATAACCTCATTTCTTGAATATTTGAGCAGCTGTGTGGAGGGCGAGAAGGAAAGAGAGACTGCTTAAATATTAGCAGACACAGCTATTTTGTGAGCAGTATGCACAGACATGGCACAGATGTGTGCAAGGTGGAGACTTACTGCTGATAGTAATCATCTACGCTTATGCAGATTAGGAAAGACATCAGAGAATTCTGCCCTTAGTGACTTTTTATTAGCACATCTTCGAGTCTGGCACTTTGGCCACCAATTTACATACAAAGAAAGTGAGATACAAAGGTTGGGAGCGGTGGCTCACACCTGTAATCTGAGGACTTTGGGAGTTTGAGGTGGGAGGATCGCTTAACCCAGGAATTTGAGACCAGCCTGGGCAACATAGGAAGACCTTGTCTCTACCAAAAAAAAAAAAAGAAGTAAAAAAATTAGCCAGGTGTGGTAGCACACACCTGTAGTTCCAGCTACTGGGGAAGCTAAAGCAGAAGGAAGATCACCTGAGCCTAGAAGGTGAAGGTTACAGGAAGCCAGGATCATGCCTTGCACTCCATCTTGGGTGACAGAGTGAGACCCAAACTCTGAGAGAGAGAGAGAGAGAGAGAGAGAGAGAGAGAGAGAGAGAAAGAGAGAGAGAGAGAGAAATGGAAGTGGATAGATTTAGCCAGACCCACAGATACCAATGAAGACCAATCAGAGTCACCTAATTCCTGTCCTGGAATTGTCTTATCCTATTTCAGCCGAGATGGAACTGAGCAATGCATAATTTGAAAATAGACTAGAGAAAACATTGATGTCTTTTAAATGTGTAATGGATCAAGCAGGATATACCTATTATTACATCATGTGAGATAAAAGGAGGGTAAAATTTAATTGTAAAACATCAATCCTAACTCAGAGCCTTACAGTGCATGTGAGATTGTTAAAAGTAATATGCAAATAAAAATTCCTACCTGAGTTGGCACATAAAGGCACCATGTGCATTGTAGTCCCATGCTTCTTGCATGTGGAATTGTACTCCAGACACTCACTTTATATAGAATACAATTTTATGGTGTCTTTATTTATAGAGAATGGAGTTTTGCAATGGATGATACTGTCCTTGAATTTAGCACACTGTACATTTGTTTGTCTATGTCATATCTCGTAAGGCATGTCAATTAAAAAAAGAAGTCGGGTGTGGTGGCTCATGCCTATAATCCCAGTGCTTTGGGAGGCCATGACGGGAGAATCTCTTGAGTCCAGGAGTTTAAGACTAGCCTGGGCAACATAGTGAGACTCCCCCACCCACTTCTCTACCAAAAAAAATAAAACAAAATGAAATAGCCTACGTGGTGGTGCATGCTTGTACTCCTAGCTACTCAAGAGGCTGAAACAGGAGGCTC